ACCGTCAAAAAAAGGGTACCCTTACTTTTTTATTAACAGTGCCTTTAATGAATGGATTTGTTCTACCAGAAATTTTCACTCAAAGATGGCTCAAAAATCGGCGGAAACTTTGCGGACAACCCAGTACTTTTCCAACAGTTTCACTGAAAGAAACTTTTTTTAAAGGCAATCACGAGTATATGCACGGGAATGTAGAAGAATGGTTTGCGTTTCTGGAAAACTGTAATATAACTGTACTTCATAATTCCTACAAACGATTTGTGACCAAGAAAGGAGACCATTTTTGTATCGCCGGTGCTGATGATTTGTACGCAGCCAAAGTCCAGTGAGCTTATACAACCATGTTCCTCTTTTTTGTTCATAAAATGTTACACTTGCGAAAAGAAGTTTTCTTTTTTGGCCTATTCCATTGCACCGATGTATCAATTTTTCACATTCGTCCATCAAGATAGAGGGGTGTCTGCATTCAATTTCAATTTCATTCCAATTCATTTTTCACCGGTAAGTTGAACCGCTCTTATCTATGGAATTTTAGGGAATCTTAGGCAAGCCTTTGCTCCCCTCTAATATCGGTTATAGGGTCGGAAATCAGTACATATTTATCCTACTGCCACTCTGATTTTGATCTTTTTTGTGTTGCAATTGACCTGTCGTCCGAATCCTTCCGAATTCGAAGTTCGGCCCTATGTGAACGAATTTTCAAGCACTTTCCGCCTGTTGGCCTAGATAGTTTCATGATACCCTGTATTACGCTGCTGAAACGTCGGAAATAAATAGTCTGTACAGTCCAATTGCGAGTATATATGTAGATCACACCTACTTACAATGTAATCATGCGAAATTAGAACAATTAATGAAGAAACGCTAGTAGGTCTCAACGATGTAAGATGTTTTGTGGCTTTAAACTTTCGTAGCTGTTTTTGTTTCAACCTCGTCTGCGTACGTGGAAAACTATATTTTTGTAACTTTCTTATATATTCTAGCGGCTCTATATGTGGAACATCTAGCGCTCAATTTAGTCTTAGGCATTGCCAAGTATATCTTGGTTGGTTCTAGTTCGTTCACTTGTGTTAGAGTTCTGTTCACTCACTTCTCGAGTCTATGTATAGTTCCGTAGAAGAAGAGAGACAAAAACTTCAAATACTTTGCACTTGACTCGAGATTAGAGGACCAAGATGTTTGTTCCCCTGTTGATGCTTCAGAAATGCTCTTGTATGAAATCTAAATATATCGCGAAAGAATCTGACATGAGGGGTTATTCCGCTGTTTTGAGGCGAAAATATCTTTTTTCTTTACTTTTTTGAAGGATAAGAGACAGCATCCCTCGCCTTATATGCACAAGAAGGATTGGTCCTTGTAGATGATAGATCCGCAATCACATAAAAAAATATGTGTCATACCTTAATTTGCAGTGACTTTTGGTATGCTTAAAAAAACTAATGGTGTTAGTAAGTAAATAAGAGGTCCTTGACGGAACTAACTGGAGAGACAGCAACACTTGTCAAATATTGTTAATAAAGCTTTGATCCTTATGCGCATTTCTTGTGGAGATCAATGTATAATTGCCACAGCTCAGCCCATCTGCATAACAAATCAGTGGGTTTTTGGGGGCTTCACAGTCGTTCAAATCTGATACACCTTCATAGATATCATATATGGATTTATATCATTTGCATATATCATACGGATCACATTTCATTTATTAAATAGCATAGGTACTTCAGCTGTAAGGGAGTTGAACAGAATGGGAGACAGATTCAACGTGCGGAACATCACTCAGAACTTCTCGACTACCAGACCTTTTCTAAACTGAACCACTCAACCAACGAGATATTCAGAACTCAATTGAGTCAGCATTCAGAAGGGGTTGAAATTTTAATATATTCAACTTGCATGATGCTGACTTCTTATAAAATTCTCTGTCGTCTGCTTTTGTGAACTCATGATATATCACGCCAACGTTACGATTACTGTTGACAGCTTCAAACCTTGTTCGAACATTAGATCATGCTAGTCTCCGCAGATCGACCTTAATTGAATCAATGTTGGTATCTTATGACCTGAAAATCAGTAACGTATCACCTGTATCACCTGTCATCTCGTTGATCGTCGATTTCCTCGAGCGGGCGCCAGTAACGTCTCCATTCGTCCCTGTCACGAGCCAGAGTGGTCCAATGAATCGCTCCAGGGACACGAGGATCAACATTCCTTTCGTTCAGAGCTTTCGTGAAAAAGTCTGAGCATCTCGTTGGCGGCCGTCCTGAAGTTCGTTTGATGTCCCGAGGAATCCAGTCACTAACCGCCCTGGTCCAACGTCCAACATCACTATATCGCATAACGTGTCCGACCCACCTAATCTTCGATTTCTTGGCGTAGTCAACGGCATCCCTGATCTTCGTTCGTTGACGGAGCTCGGAACTCCGGATTCCCTTGTGCACTTGCGTGTACAGGGAAATTCCGAGCATCGTACTTTCCAAAGCGCGTTGAGTGACGCTGACAGCACGCTCATCCTGCTTTCGTAGAGTCCAAGTCTCTGAGGCGTACGTCAAAGCAGGAAGAACAGTCGTGTCGAAAAGGTGTGCGCGGAGCCGGATGTTCTTTGTCTTCTTCACTACTCCCTCGATATTCTTAAATGCTCCCCACGCGGCGCGTTTCCTTCTGCATAGCTCCGGAGCTACATAGGTCGTTCATCCTATTGACTACCCGACCTAGATAGACATAGCTAGAGCATTTGGAGATATTCTTTCCGTTTAGCGTGAAGGGAGCATCAGGTACCAATGCGTTTCTCATGGACATCGTCTTCGTTGAGTTCAGTATCAATCCGATCTTTCCACAAGCATTGTCAAACTCGGCCAGCATTTGTTCCGCCTGCTCGATGTTCGGTGTTATGAGCACTATGTCGTCTCCAAAGCGGAGGTGATGTAGATAGCGGCCGTCGACCTTCACTCCCAAGTCTTCTCATTCGAAATGACGCATGATATTCTCGAGAGCGGCACTGAAAAGTTTGGGCGATATGGTATCGCCCTGCCGGACATCTCTTCACGTTGATAATGACTTCGTTGTAGAATGGTGAGATCCTGGTCGCAGAGTTGTCGTAGAACTCACGAAGCATCCTTATATATTGAGTAGGAGCACCCTGGTTGCCCAAGGCTTCGATTACCGCTTCAGTCTCGACAGTGTCAAAGGCTTTCTTCAAATCGATGAACGTAAGACGTAACGGCATTTGTACTCTCGCGATACTTCATTTAGTCTTTGATGATTTGAAATGAGTGATTTCAATGCTACTTCAATGAGTTCAAGACTCATTGAAGTAAGAATATGGGCATTGTAGGTTTTCTGAAATAATGTCCAGAGATGTAACACTCAGGCCGTAGTTGCCTGGATTCGAGTAGGGTTGTTTTTTCAAGATCATGGTGACCAAGGATTGTTCCCAAACTCTAGAACTTTTCTTTGCATCAGGGATTGGTCCAATATGCGAGCCAAACATCCATAGATGGTATAAGCAACTTTTAAGTAAGAGTAAGGTTTCCAAAATTGCGGAAAAATCGGAAATTTTACTATCGTCTTTTAGAAAAGATTTGCCAACGTGATTTGTGAGCATGTTCGCCTTATCATATCCTTTATACGCTACTAGGTCGCAAACCTTCGAACAACTATCAACGCGTTTATCTTTCGAGGTTTTTTTAATTAATGTGTTTGAAAAACAATTGGTACTTTCGTTGATTATCTGTAGTTCGACCAGGCTTCCTTACGTTTAGCTTCGAGAAAAAGTGCAATCTCGATGTTCCACTGTGTCGCATAGGGAAGGATACTTGGTCGCAGCGGCCATTCGAAATGAGATGTATACCGCCGTTGGTGGTATCGAACGCTGATCTCAAATCTGTGTTCCAAATCTGCTAAACGTTTCTGCGAACAAAGATACGGGACCACTTCCTCCCTGTTCATACCACTGCACTGAATGGATCACCGGGCCGAGCAAAGCCCTAACCTGTGCAGTGGTGGCCAAGATATACAGTGCGTCTCCAAATGATACAACCACCTCTGATTTCCCCGAAAACTCACTGTATACGCTGTTTCTGAAAAGGAGCCAAAGTAAAAAATGTGTCAAGTCTGGATTGCGATTCGCACACTATCACCAACTTCCAGCTGGGAAACAAATTTTTTTGATCAATTTTCAGTAAAAGGTGCCTTTCCAACGTCTCCAAATGATACAGCCACTAACAAAATTAATTTATTTAACAACAAACATACAACAAAGAGAGAAAGTTGCAAAGTTAATAATCATCTGGCCAACCATTTGTCGAATAACTTTGGAAATACTGTGGTCTAGGCTCAAACAAAAATTATAAGTCAGCTCCTATTCAACTTGGTGCCACGCTTAATGACCGCTTTTTGCAACTCCTTGACGCCTCGGAATTGCTTGTTTTGGGCGTAAATCTTTCGCACCATGAAGCCCCATGCATTTTCCATCCGATTCTAACCGGGGCTGTTCGGGTCAGGCCAAAAGTGCAACTCGATGCCGAGAGAACCAAGCTTGGTGCTGCTGACGTGAAATGGGGCGCTATCTTCCACAAAAACAAGATTGCCGATACTGACGCCAGAGAGGGAGAAGTGCACGCAGTACATAAAGGGACGAGTTCATTCTCTTCGGTACAAAACAAACGGATACGCCTAATCGATGAAATCGCGGCCCAAACTAGCCGACATGACTCCTCCTCGAAGATCCGTCTAGAAAACTGAAGTTTGTTCTTCCTCAGCTCGTGTTAGAGGAATCGGTTACCGTCTTTACCATCACAATTGAACTTCGTTTCATCGGAAAAGACGATCTGAGTGCTAAAACCATCAAGAGATTCCTTGATGTCTTTGCCACTTAGGGTGCTTTACGCATTTTCAGCATGACTATGAACTTGGACCTTCTGATCACCTTACAAACAGTTTTTCGAGGCATTGAGGTTCGAAGACGATCGGATTTCCATACAGGACTTAGTAGAGTTCGGCGTTTCTCTCGAAATGCGGCGCTTGTCTCTGTCGGACAGCAGCGAAAGGCGTCCAGCACTTCTGGTTCCATAGGTTTCAGGATTCTTGGTGAAATTATCCACAACTCGTGACATCGACCCAAATCTCGCACGTTTCGACAGTCCCTGCTCCTTTTTCGTGAGGGTTTGACCTTTCTTGAATTTCAAAAGCGGCTTTCCTCTTCCTATTGCCTGAAATTAGAGAACATTACATAAACAAAGCAATTTCGTTGCGTCGAACTAAAACAGACACGAAGACATGAAGTGGCTGTATCAGTTGGAGACGTTTTTAAAGCACCCTTTATAGACAACCTGACCAAAAAATGTTTGCGTTTTCGAGCTGGAATTCGATGATAATGTGCGAATTGCAATTCAGATTTGACACATTTTTTACTTTGACACTTTTTCAGAAGCATCGTATACTGTTATTTTTTGGGGAAATTAGGGGTGGCTGTATCATTTGGAAACGCACTGTAGTTGAAAGAAGTTGATGAATACTGTTCGTAACAAGTCACAAGTAAATACTTGAAGAGAAAAAATATATCTGATTTTGTGGCAAATTTTCCTTCTATATGCTCAGTTGCAACTCTATGCACACTACACTTCACCGAACTAAGCAACACTTATATAATATAGTGTACGGAGCTGGAACAAGCTAAGGTACACCGCAACTCAAAGTAGGGCCGTCACGAGGCGAATCCAATGAATGAATTCTGTCAAACACCCCACACCACCCCACACCACGACACACTTCACTATACTAACTACATACCCTTTACTACACTACACTACACTACATTACGCTCCACAACACTACATACCACAAACACATACGCACACACATCCACACACATACACACAAATACACCCAAACATACACATGAACTCATACACACATCACCTGATCATCGATTTCCTCGAACGGACACTAGTTGCGTCACCATTCATCCCTCATGCGAGTCAGAGCGCTCCTTTGAATCGACCTCGCTCGAGGGACACGAGATAACACATTCCTTTCGCTCAGAGCTTCCATGAAAACTCTGACCATCGCGCTGGCGTCCGTAATGCTATTCGTGTGCCGTCCCGAGGGATCCATTCAGTGACCGCACTGGTCCAACGGTCATCACCAGATCGCATGACGTGCCCAACTGTTCTGACCATCAATTTCTTTGCACGAGTAATGGCATCCTTGATCTTCGTTCTTTGACGGAACTCGGAAATCCGGTTTCTCCTGTGCACTCTCCTGTAAATCGGAGTCTCGAGTAAGTCCAACCAGGAGAGCTTTGAATGACGCGCGTCGACTGCATGCGCATCCTCCTCTCCGTTCGTTCTCGAAAGCTCGAAACTCCGGATTTACTTCTGCACTTGCGTGTATAGGAAATTCCGGGCATCGTCCGAACCAAATCGCGATGTTCACCATGCTTTCGTAGGGTCCACATCTCCGAGGCGTACGTCGAAGTAGGAAGGACAACAGATCGAGAGGTGAGCGCCGAAACGGATGTTATCTTCTTTACTGCTACCTCGATATTCTTGAATGCTTCCCACGTGGCGCGTTTCTTTCTGCTTAGCTCCGAAGCTAGGTCCAACATTATGTTGACTTCTTGACTTAGGTACACATAGCTCGAGCATTCCGAGATATTCGTTCCGTTTGGCATGAAGGTGGGCACCAGGTATCAATCCGTTACTCATGAATATGTTCCTAATTAAGTCCAGTCTTAAGCCGATCTCTCACAGATGCTGTCAAATTCGGCCAGCATTCGTTCCGCCTGCTCTGAGTTCGGTGTTATAAGGAGGTCGTCGTCTGCAAAACGAAACTTGTGTGAATAGCGACCATCGACTCCAAAGCACCATTACAAAAAACGCTTTATGTCTCGAAAGAGGCGACTAAGATTTTGAACGAAATGGTATCGCCCTGCCGACCCTCTCTTCGCATTAGCAATATTTTTCTTATAGAATGGCGAAATCCTGGTGTCCACGGTATCCACGAAAAATCCTGATGTATTGAGTTGGAACACCTTGGTTGTCCAGAGTTTCAATTACCGCTTCCGTCTCCACAGTACCAGGGACCTTCGAACCGATGAACGTAAGAAATAACGGCATGCTCTACTTTCACGAATCTTGAACGAGGCCTGTAACAGCGTGGATCTGATCGATTATACTGAACCCCCATCAAAACCCTGCTTGCTCGCGTGGCTGTCCTTCATATAATATTCAGCCAATACTATTGATGTGATGTGTGTACTAACCAGGAAAGGATTCCAAGTCGAAGAGGCCATTTGAAATGAGACCTACACTGCTAGACGTGTTTCTGGATGCTGAGTTCAGATCTGCTTTCCAAATTTGCCAAGCGTTTCTCTGAACGGAGGGTGGTTTCAGGGAGCTTACCATGACAAAGCTTAAATTACTTGGATGTGCCTCATTTCTCAACGGCAGCTTGGTGTAGTGGTAGGCGTGACGCTTCATGTGCGAGAGGCTAGGGTTCGGGTTTTGTGGGGGCCGTAATTTTTGCACTATATAGAATTTTTCCCTTAAGGACTAAAAAGTACTCTCATGGTGATTTTATCACGTTTTATAACCTTTCAATGCTTTTGCTGATATTTATCCACATAAAGTAATACTTCAGTTTCACTCGCATGACCATGCACTCTATATTCACAGTAGAATAACTTTTGCCACTTTATGAACAAATGTGATATTCTAGCGCGATATGCTTGAAATAAAAAAGCTTCTCACAATAGGAACAACGGATCAAAAAGAACTCGTCACAGCCCACTGCTTTACACTTACTAACCCCAAACCAGAAGGAAAACAAAATTGTGTAGGCGTCCCAAATCACCCGGGTGAGCGCTTATGTAGCCGGCGGCATATCATGAATATGTAAGAAATTTAACCGCACAGAACTGAAAGTAGACAAGCGATAGTACGTAAAAAATGGGCCCTCGTGTGTACACGCAAAAGTTGAGATCATGAGCTATTACATAAGAGTTTAACCATATTTTTAAAAGGACATAAGAAATGAGCATCACAGGCTGTATTAGCCACGTGGTAGCCTTGAGCGTGCTGTCATTCCCTTCTCTTACTTTTGTGGAGGTAAGATGCACTAAATAGCTTTCTGGTCTTCGAATGATGTCCACGAGTCCACTATCAGCAGTGCCGGTGTTGGTGTGTCGGAGCTGCTGCGCACCATCGCACCCAATCTAGCGTCAACACGCACTCTAGCATCGTCATTGCTCATCATGTACGTTTTACTCGTCCGGACCTCCAAATTTTGCGCACGGAGGAAGCTCCCACTCGGTAACAGGTAGGTGGCTAGGGGAAGGTATCAAGGCATTAAAAGGTCATAAATGTGATAAAATCACCATGAGAGCATTTTTACTCTATAAGAGGAAAATTCTATATAATGCAAAAATTCTGTCCCCTACAAAACCCGAACCCTAAGCTCTCGCACATGAAGCGTCACACTTACCAATACTCGGAGCCGCCGTTGAGAAATGAAGCACATCCATGTGATTTAAGTTTTCTTATGTTAAGCTCCCTGAAACCATCCTCATAACTCCGTTCAGAGAAACGCTTGGCAAATTTGGAAAGCAGATTTGAACCCAGCATCCAAAAACACGTCCAGCAGTACAGGTTTCATTTTAAATGGCCACTTCGACTTAGGTGCTTCCCTGGTAAGTTTGTGGATTATAGACAGCAGGCAGATTGGGCGATAATTGTCAATATCGTTGGGATCTCCTTCCATATACAGCAACATAGTCTTGCTGGTTTTCCACGACGTGGGACTTTGCATTCCGACAGGTATCGCGTGAAGAGGCTGGCTCGAGCTCTTACCGACAACTGGTCTAAACACTATAGATGTTCTGGTTTGATCCTATCAGGAGCGGGCGCTGTATAAATTTTCATCGATGTGATTGCATGTCGAATTTCGGAAGGGAGAGCTGGAGGGACAACATATCCGTCTTGCCTAAGATGGCAAGTAAGCAGGTGGACGTGGCGAGATCCGAGTAGAAGTCGTAGCTGACCTTCTCCGTTGCCTTAGTTGCAGTAAGTGGCTGCTTTAATAGTCCACGACCAGTCGCTATCGCGCGATCTGCTCGGGACCGTCCTCGGCGGCACCCGTAACTAGTGTCGCCTCCTCGACGATCGAGTGACCGGTGGCGCGACCAGTCGCGCCACTGGTCGCTCGCGAGATAGGTCCGCGAGCTGTCGCACGACTGGTCACTCGCGAAATCGTGGACTATGAGAGATGCCAGTGCTCCGTCAGAACGAACAAGGGCATTCATTGTGGTTTTGTAATTGACGAGCTTTGCTCCTTCGGGCTTTGAGAATGTTATTTACCGCCTCGACGGTTTCACGCTTAACTGCTGCTTACGTGGTGGCGTATAGCATTTCGAAAAGCAGAACTGTAGGAGCGATATATTTGTCTTGCCTAAGATGGTGTGTCCACTTAGGTAGACGTGGCTGTCGGAGAGATCCATGTAGAAGTCGTAGATGACCTTCTCCATTGCCCTTCTATATGCGGTAACTGTTCTGTCAGGACGACAAAGGGATGTCACCTTGTTCTTGTAATTGACGAAGCTCCGTCGGGCTTCAGGAATGCTCTTTTCGGTCTCGGCGGCCTCGTCTTTTTCAGATCTTCCTTTGTTGCTTCTCTGCATAGCTTCGCTAATTCGGACCTTTGTTGATGATTGCCTGCAGCTCGCGCGGTCCGACCCTGGCTAATCAGCTCAAGGGTCTTACCAAGGAAGGGTTTCAACTCCACATGGAACTTTGAGTAGAAAACTAGGTATATCGTTAAGTTTTGGAAAGTTATTAACAAGTATGAAAATTAAAACTGCAAAATAAGTACCAAGAAGTTGTGAGCGCCAAAGTTTGCATGCTTCAAGCATGGAGAGATAGTGCCAGCTGGTAAGCGCAGTTGCCCGCAATGACTACAAGGGTCACCGTGGGGTAGTGGCAGTGGTCTCTCCTCCAGGTGAGCGATGAGAGTTTGCTCCCCGTATCGTTTTCGTTCTTGCAAAACGTGTTTTCATCCGAATAAAAGCTCCTAAACCGTTTTTCTAACTAATGTAAGTCAGCGCTTTATTTCGGCTATCAATCGCAATCACCTATCTAACATGTTGTATCTTGTACTTTGTGTTTAGTTTTCCTGGTCATGCCATGCAACCGGAACGTGCTGTATCAGGTTGCGCGCTGAACGACACTACCATTATGCTTGCTCATCAACCTAATGCTGCTAAATTAATGCTCAGTCATCCGCTTGTAAGCGAGAAACTTGATCTTATATTATCAGGTGAGTATCACTGTATTTATTCATTATTTATTTCACACCCTCAAAGGTGTTCCTAACTCAAAATGCAGGAGTCTCCATCATGAAAATGAAATTGACTGTAGAGCAGTAGGCCTGCAAACACGAACGTACAGAAGTGTCCATTTGAAATTGAAATCAAAGTTGAAGAGATTCCAATCAAAGGTCGCCTGCCAAGACGAAATCCCATCTTTACCAGCAGCCAAGCGTGATAGTCGGCTCCCCTTGTAGTAGAATGAAGTGGTTTTCAGAAGACACTGCATTCATAGAGGGTGCTTGAAATAAATATTATCTTGCCATCTTATAGAATGGCTACCTTATCAACGTGAACTTCAGATTAACAATTGAGAAAGTTCTCGAAAAACCTAATTGAATAATGTTCAGGATCCTTGCGCGACTAGCTGGCAAATTTCGGACAGGAGGGCAAGAACGGAAGGCGCAGGGCTAATCAAGAGGAAAACAAGTCGAAAAAAGCGAAATAGTTATCCTTAGATCAAGAACACCAATATGTCTTATATAACACCACCAGTGCTTCGAAATGTTGCGAGGGATTTGAAAAGGAAGGGACTTTCGTCTTGGAATTGAATGCGCGAAACGGGTGTAAATTCCTCGACAGCCTTGAAGAATGTTGGAAGGCTATCCTGAGAAGTTCAAATGTTGGAGACTAGGCCTGGATTGCTTCAGTCGAATCGCTTGTTCTACCACTGCTTAGGCGGAACACCCAGTATTTGCTTAATCGTAATTCAATTTCGTTCCTTGATACACGAAATGCCAGGGTCAAGTCGGTTCCGATTCACTTGTGGGTTAGCTGTGTTAGTCCGAGCATTTTCAATCTTTCTGTGTATCTTGGCAAGTTGATGTGATTGGTACTAGAAAAACACCTGAAGTAAAGTAGACTCGTAGAAGTCCGTTGTACTTTATCTAACTTCGATATTTCCTTTTTGCGAGCAGTACTCAAGATGAGGAAAAACGAGAGCTCCGTATAAAGCAAGTATGGCTTATAAGTCTTTGGTCAAAAAATTTTGAAAGATCAGAAGACGAACGTTGTTTTGGATGTCTTTCAGATGTGTGCAGGAAATTTCGAGTTTGAACTCATGAGAACTCCAAGGTCTTCGACTAAGACACCTATTCTCCCTTTACCACCGTTAACGTAATGGTCTGTATCACCTCCTTCTCCGAAATGGAATACAGCACATTTGCTCAGATTAAGAGATGAATCCCATGTCTGGCCCATTCTTTCATTTGCACTATTGAATGCTTCAAGGCTGGTTGGATTTTCTGCCAACTGTCTGTGTCGTAAGGTGCAAAAATTTCTATATCTTCTGCGTACATTTGAACCTTAATGTCCATTGAGGTTCCAATGAACGCAGGAAGATCGATGGTGCAGATTAGGACCAGTAGAGGAGATAAAATATCCCCGTGAGGGACATCGCTGGATCAGCTATGTCTCTCAGATAAACTGTGGCCCACAGCTTTTCTGAGAGACAGCCAAAACAGCCCAGAACCTATTGTTCAATTAAATATTGTCTGAACCACACCAGAAGTTGCCCAGTCACACCAAGTGTTTTAAGTTTTGACTAATTGTATATTTGCTTCAGCCTTTCCAAGATTTCAAACTATAGGGCTAACGTTTCGGCGAGTTCGCCTTCGTCAGAGCCTATAAGTCGAAAAACCATTGAGATTGACTCTATAATAAGACAAGATAAACCCAAGACAGTTCTTTGGTCAAGAGATCCCTCGAACCCGGTGTACAAGAGGCTTACCTTAATCTATATCGCCGGAGCGTTAGATCGACCACCCAGTGTTTGCAGTATGCATACAATGAGCAAACCTTCCTCCTTCCTCACCTCACCGTAATCATAAAATTCGCAAAGTCGAGAAAGGGCGCGAGATCACGGGTTACGGCTATGCGCTCTTCCTTCCTGTTAATTTAAGGGTCTCTTGCTGCAATTCAACATGCCTAAAGTGCTTTCCGCGCAGTAGTCTCCGTTTATAGTGCCGAGATGTTTACTGAAATAGTGAGTTCGTTACATCGTGGCTCAGAACTCGATGCATTCCCAGTGGTGTTTGGGTGCGAGACTCTTTTAGCCCCTCCAGTTGTTTTTCGAGGCGCCCTGTTTTATCAATATGTTCAGCATCACAGGCCTGACAACGAATTTCGTAAATCTCCCCTGCTCTCGTGCAAACACGTCGTCGATTGGAAGTTTTCTAGTGCCAAGATGGTTATTCCAAACGACGGGGTGATGATTGCATGAGAGTAGGGGTGATTCACGAAATTTGTTACCAGGCCTGTGATGCTGAATATATTGGTGAAACAGGGCGCTCCCTTCGCCCCAAAGAACACCTGGAGGGGCTAAGAAAGTCTCGCACCCGAACACCACAGGGAATGCATCGAGTTCTGAGCCACGATGGTAACGAGCTCACAATTTCAGTAACCATATTGGCGCTAGAAATGGAGACTACTGCGCGGAGAGCATTTGAGGCTTGAGGTGTTGGATTGCAGCTAGAGACCCTCAAATTAGCAGGAGGGAGGAGTGTATGGTCGTAGACCGTGACCTCGCGCCCTTTCTCGACCTCTGCGAATTTTGAGATCACGGTGAGGTCAGGTAGGAGATAGCCCTGCTCATTGTACGTATACTGCAAACACTGGATGGCCGAGCTAACGCTCCGGCGATTTAGATCAAAGTAAGCCTCTTGTATACCGAGTTCGAGGGATCTCTTGACCAAAGAACTGTATTGGGTTTATCTTGTCTTATTATGGAGTCAATCTCAATGGTTATTCGACTTTTAGGCTCTAGTGAAGGCGAATCGCCGAAACGTTAGCCCTATAAAGTTTGGAGTCCTGGAAAGGCTGACGCAAATATATGTACATACATATTATTCAAAGGTCATGCCAAGATTAAGAGAAGGTCGATCGTGGTTTTAAGTTTGTCAATCAGTTTCGAATGACATAATGTGTCAATCGCTTTGGAGAGGTCAACGAAAATCACATCGATGCCTTGTCCTCTACTCAAGGACAGAGACCAGTCAAAAGTGCAGTCGGGAAGGTTCGTTGTCGTCGATGCACCATTGAGAAAGCCTTGCTGCTCATGTGGAAGCAGTCCAAATCTATGAAGCCATGACGGGAGTTTATCTCTAATTAATCGTTCTATCACTTTGGCTGGAGTAGGTATTACGCTTATGGGGCGAAATTCGGAGAGTTAATGGCTGCTAGGAGTTTTCGGAATAGCAGTAACAATTACTTCCTTCCACAAATCAGAAACCTCACCCAGAAACATAGATATGCTTAAAATATGAGATAGAGGATTACAAAGTAAAATGGCTCATCTCCTATATATAGTCTGAGAATACCATCGTAAAATTCGTAAGTGGAAGGTGTGAGATTCTTCAAAATCTTGTAAACTTCGTGGGAATCGTTAAATGCGATCCGAAGATGCGTTGCGTAATCTCACAAAAGCCGCACGGTAGTAATCCATCACTGGGCTATCAACTGCAAACACACTTGCGAAGTACTCTTCCAAGCTTTTTGCTTGGCAGAAGTGAAAGAAGTTTCTGGAGAGTTGGATAGTGTCGGGACACATGGCCGAAGCTCGGCTTTTTGTCCGAAGTAATGGAAGAGCTCTTCCGTTTTGGTTCAGAAAAGCAGACGTCTTTTTTGGTTTGCTGTAATTTTTTCAAATCGCAGTCAAGGTCCGAGCATATCTTTTCATAAAAAAGTGCTTGCAGTGAAGCAGTAGGAAAAGACGTTACTTTCGATTGAGTAATTTTACCACGTGACTTAGATAGCTTAGCCATGATGGGCGAGGAAACTTGGAAGGAACAAAGGACGGCATAGCGCAGTAAATCCGAAAGCAAAACTTTAGAGATAGCTCATAAAGGCGTAATTATCAAAAACAGGGTGTCAGTCCATACGTTGTAGGTAAAGGCACATGAGTTTGAAATTTGTGTCGAGGAAATCTGGCATAGGAAGGCCATTGTTGATGGATCCAGTGGAGAGAACATTGAATGCAACTGGCACTACGGTCAGAATTACCGAATGGAGGTAGGACTGAGATTTTTGTTGCAACTGGTGAAGTAGAAATGATAAGATCAAGAATGTTGCTCCCATGGTGGGATGAGAGACAAGTTGTGTAAAACCGCGATTCTCAAAGAAGATCAGGAATAATGCTGGAAATGAGTTCAAAGCCTTTTTCTCCTCCCTGTCGATTTTGAGATTGAGATTCCCTAAGAGGATGGTATTGCGCCCGGTAGACCTCAAATCGGAAAGTAGTGCGAGAAGATGAGAGTCATCAGCTGTGGTAGAGTTCGTAGGACGGTAGACAGCGACGAACCTCACTGTAGGCGTCAAAAGTGCAAAGTTCAAATGATAAGACATCGGAGTTGAATGTGTAATCAAGAGTGATATTTTTGGGAACTAAAATGGAGTTGATCAGGCAGTAGACTCTGCCACCTTTCCTCCTTCTCGGTCACGGCTCTAAACAAAGTAAGGTAAACTATAATAGTTAGTTCTGGGTCCGCTACGTGGCTACTCAACAAGTTTCCGTGATCATCACATCATTAGGTTTTTCAATATTCAAAAATGCATGCAGGTTAGAAATTTTATTCGTTAGGTTGCACTCAACCCGCAAAATATCGAGTAGGTCAGTGACCTTTTTTTCGAGATCCTCCGAGGGTTCCAGTGGATGTGCTTATATGCTCACCACCGGCTTGAAGAGCGTTTTTCGGCCTCAACTAGCCCAGATACTTCATTTGTGATCTTTTCCGAAAGAACATTGAGCATTTTACTGTCAACCAGGTCGGTATTGCGCTCAAGGAGCGCTTTTAGAGGTTCGCTGACGCTCAGCTTTCTGAGGTCTCTCCATCTGGACTGGTCTCTGCACTGAAACCTCCACGTCTGAGCCACCTCTATTTCCATGGGACAAGTCGTCTGAAGCAGTTTCCCTGTGCCTATTTGTACGATCAACCTTGAAAGCATGACATGGTAAATATAATGACGAGGGATCAATATCAAGGAAGAGCTCGCCAAAGAAAAACAGAAAAAAGTTCGCAGGTTGGTTGATGTGCTAAAAGAAACTGCAAACTGGAACAAAACAAAAAAGAAGTTCGGAATGCATCCAGGAAGAAGTGGCCAGCAGAGTCTAAAATAAAAAAGAGTTTATTCTATGTATTGTTAATAATGCATTTCAAGGATGAATTGGATTAAGATGTGTTGTCAAGAGTTATGATTGGAATCTCTTAGGCATTTTCAGGGCATACGCATGGAGGACAGATGTACTTGTTCGTACCTATAATTTATCTAGCCAATGCTTTCGCGAGGTAATTCTTTCTTATTTGATGCTGCTTCTGGAGAAGAAGAGGTGTGATAGATTGTGACAGTCATTGGTGTTGGAGTAGATATGGGACACTTCATGACAATTGACAGGAATAAGTTTGTTTCGCTGGCAGTTTTCATTTACTGTCCTCGTGAGGGAAGGACTCTGGATCGCTGAAGCCATACAAGGTGAGATATATGTAGACGTGAATGCTTCCAAACGCTAGTTCCAAATCCACCCTCCAAGTCTTCTTACCGATTCTTGGAACAAAGTTTCAGAATCGTTTCTCCTGCATTGTAGCGGTGTTCGCACCAAAAAGCGAACCGAGTAGTCAACTCATCGTGAAGCGATGGCACAGTTGGTAGGGCGGCGGACTTGTAAGAGTGATGTAGGGTTTTAGGTCGTTGATGCATGACCTCATTTTGCATTATAATGAAACGCGTCCTAAACGCTCGAAAAAGCTCTCACGCCCCTTGCCTCTTATTGACTATCTACGGCCCCCTCTACATTGAGGGAACACGGGGAATAGCAATTCATAAAGTATTCTTTGCATCCGTCAACCGCGTAGAGGTGCCTTTACCCCTATTCCCAACTCTCACGATGGCGTTTCAAATTTTCGACATACCATGCCTTTTCTGCGGAAGACGGTAAAATGCCTCACTTGACCAGTGTGCTCTTTCGGAGAAGTGCTGTCCTAACTTTTGAGTGGGACCGTCTTCAACAGGGAGGCCACAACTTTTCTGGTACATGTACACTCTCCCCTTTTTATTTTAAGGTTTAAATGTCTGACTGAGGCCTGACATTACCGCTTCCCATTTCTTCCTAATAAAAGAATAGTTAAAAGCAGTTCCATATCGACTAATACAAATATGATTATGATTATGATTTATTATCGGAAATCAAAGAAAATATCAGAAAACAAGTCTCCGATAAGCAGTAACTTTAAACTAATGGGGAACAACAGAGGGATCTGCGTGAAGAGGGGCTGGAATTCGGATCGGAAGGGCAGTGGCCGCCAACACTGCAAGCTCGTACGGGACGACATATGTAGAACTCCGGATACCGTCTTAGTAGGTCCGCCAACCTGCCGAAAGCCAAACCAGCGTCGCAGAAGTCAAGGAGATATTGTTGTGCACAAAACTGAAGATCAATTATTCATAAAAAATAGACATAAAGTCACAGTAACAGTTTTCTGAGTCAGACAAAGTTATTAATATAACAGCAAAGTTAATCGCTTCTCTGCCTTCTCTGAGAGTTTAATTTCTTGCTCCCAAAACCAACCTTGGGACACCAATATATCTCTTATTTTTCTCCGAAATGAGCTGGGAGAGCTAGAGTAAACCACGGAGGGCGGTAGCTCATTCCATAAACTAACTACTCTTTCAGTGAAAGAATTTCGATATTCCACGGTGAAAGTTTTTCCCCTAATAGTTCATAGCTATGACCTCTAGTACACCCGATAGTTGCTGATTTCCGGAAGAAAGTATCGAAATCCAAATCCACTAGCCCGGTGGAAAGCTTGTGAACAAAATCGTAATCGTACAACTTTCTCCTCATTTCCAAGGAATTTTCGTTCAGATAGTCCAATCTTTCTTTATAAGAGACGTGGAAAACACCTTTACGAGCAAAATTAGGCTCGGTGAATTTGGCCTGAACACCCTCAACAAGATCTACCATGTTACGCGTGGAAGCACTCCATACCATAGAGCAGTGCTCCAATATAGGGCGAACTTAAGTAGAAAAGAGCTTGAACAGATTCCATATTCGGTCGTCTTGAAACCTGGGCATATCACATAACGTTTTTACACTGTTTTGCCGTACAGGTTTGTTATGGTGAAACCGCTTTATTAGGTCGACGTCCTCCAGGTCCTTGAAGACGACGAGTTGTTCGAAACGTCGACCTAATAAAGCGGTTTCAACATAACAAACCTGTACGGCAAAACAGTGTAAAAACGTTAAGCTTGAACAGAGTTTTAATATTTCTTGTAGCAAAAGCACGCGAAATAAAGTTCGCCCTGCATTGGGCTGGATTCACCACTTTATAAACCGCCATCCATGAAGAATTTCGCAGTGGACTCATGAGAAGTGTCCTAATCACAGGACAACTGTTTTGTCAAGGGAAATGGTGAGTCCCCACTTCTTAGCCCAACTAGATATGGCATCAAGGGCAACTTGTAGCAATAGGGGCTGATCCATGCAGTAAACCACTACACTGTTCAAAAACTGTTTCTCTTCAGAATTGAATCATCCTACCGCTAAATGGAACAAAGATGCAACGATCGTTCAGTTATACAACAGATCGATATAGCAGATGTGTATATCGTGGGGTAAGGCAACAAAGCTGTGAATTAATAACACATAACCTGGAATGCCTCTTGAAGGATTGACACCGCCTATATCCCTTCCAAACTCAAATGCTCTAACTCTGAGAGTAATTTCGCGCACACCCCGCTACACATCCCACTCACCAGTGTGCGAAGTCTACTCTTCCCTCCAATTATCAGTGTTCCCATTTCGCCATCTTTTAAATTTAAACATTCTGGGTCTATAGGAGCAGGGATTATTGGGTTGTAACATAAGTTCGTAGAGTTTTTCACAAAGATTTATTTGAACAAGAAACAATAATTATAATATTTTAAAATACTGCTATCTCTGAGCTTCATTTAGACTTCTTGTCGTTTTGTGTACTTTTCGAAGCTCTATGCTCTTCACTTTTATTGGTGAGCTTTCGGCATATAATGCCTTCGTCAGACCTTAATTAATTACAATATATTGCTGCATACAATCAGTTACTATCAGTTACAATACAAAACACATCGAATCATACCAAGTCAACCGGAAATATTGGGGGAAAGGGGAATGGACCTGTCGGCGGGGCCCGACGAATCTTCATTGGTCTCGCGGTCTCCCCCACGTACTTTTCTCCACATCCTCCACATTGAATCAAATAGACAGTGCCCTGGAGTTCACAGATCTTCTCAGAAGTGCAGTATCGACAAGACTGTTCGCGGCACCGTCTTTCTTAGATTCGGGATGATGTTAGGAGATCCTTCAGTGTAGGGGGAGGTCGGAAAACAAGTCGAATGGGAAGCTGGGAGTTTTTGACGATGCGGTTTACCTCACGTGTCATTTTGTCGTTGACAAAAGGCACAATGAGGCTTACACCATCAGCCATCCTGTGCGGGACCCAGGTCCTTGTATTGCCTTCGAAGTATCCATTGCTTTTGAGGATACTTTCAATTTTAGCATCAACAACTGTATCCCTTCGCGTCCCAAGCTTCTCCTTCGTTTTCAAAAGATTCCGCACGACGTTTGCCTTCATATAAATNCCTATTCAAGCTTTTGGAGTGTTGTTTTGACGACTTGGGCAATATTTGGCCTGGCGTTGTCGTGGAGTGCCTTCCATGCCTTCCCAGTTCCACCAAATGCAGATCATGACCTTTTTTGGGTGAAGATCTTGCTTGACTCTCGGCTTCGGCGTCTCTCCTGTGGCCACCCACTCCTTTCAGTAGGCACACCTAGGGCACCTTCCCCGTACACACCGCATATGTCCCGAGCGGCTTCGGCTGCTTTTTGACCTCGATGGAAAGCAAAGAAAAACAGATGTCGAAAATACTGATTTTCCTTCCTGGATACTCCATACCTCAGCCAGAGAAGAGACGAACAATTAGATTATCCAAAAAAAGTAAAACAGCCTTGTAGAGGAGAAAGAGCTCTTTCGGAGGAATGTATACACTTTGCCAAAAAACAAAACAAGTCGTTGTAAAATAACTCTAACGCAAAAGTCTACGAACTTATGTTACAACCCAACATATACAGTAGCGCTCAAGTCTTCGGTGAAATGGTTCTTCAGCCGTACTTTTCAGTCGCAACTCCTTTCCTACTGCATCTGATCATGCGAAATTTCTATGTGTAGCATGGGTGTATTGTGAATATTTACCACTGTTGGTCATGTTGCAGATATACCTAAGGGCATGAACCCAAAATCGACTGAAAATACAGATGATGGTCCTTTTAGAATCTCTTTCCTTTTTGTCATGTCTAAAGTGTTCGAACGGTAATGCCGAACACAGTAGATGAGAAGAACGCACATTAGGTTTAGGTGCAAACATCAACAACTTTACTTTCAGCAAAATCTGCTACCGCAACAAACACCTTGCTCTTTCTGTGGATAGTGCAGCTTCGCAGTCAAACAGTGTTGGGTATTGCGAAATATGCTCTAGTTAAACATATCTAAATTTCGCGCGATTGGATCTACCAAGAAAAAAGTTCTGAACGAAAAAGCGTCAAAGCATTTCACCGAAGACTTTTGAGCGCTACTGTATACTCGGTGTATTTCAATTTCTGTAAGGAGGGTGATGACAGTCAGATAAATAGATGGCTGTGGTAATATATGAAACGCTGAAACGCTTCTAAAACGCTGAACAGAATTATCGCTGTTTGTTCGTAGCTTCCCCCACCTCGGTGAAAACTCCGCTCACTATTAAAATTTGGCAACTCTTCCTTTAGTAAACTCCAACCACTTTCTTCTGGAATCTAGAACGTTTTTGCTGGAAATTGTGAATTTTCTTTGGAAAAAGCTATTCGAGAGCATGGTCCGCCTATCATAGGTGGAGCTTCGTTGAGTTTGCCCACGTATAGCAGTCCATAGACTTCACCTCAATCCAACGATCTTTCGCTCACTTCCAAACTTCCTGTGAAGAGGAATGTGAGTTTGCTTGAAAGTGCCGCCCACTTTGAAAATGCTCCGCCACCCGATGGTGGTTGTTCATTGTCTGGATTACTGCCCCTTCCCAAATACTAACCATTTTTTCAGGGCTCTTCAGCCAAAATAAGATTTCTTGCCTTCGACACCGCCCACTTCGGCAGTCGGTAGCGAGTTTGTCGCACATGCGTCGAAATCCATAGATGGTGAACTCTTTTATGTCTTCCTAGATGCTGCCCAGTATAAGAGCCAACGTCCTCTAACTCATACGATAACACCATCGTATTTGAGCGGAACATTTCGCTGACAGCATGTCGGAGAGCGTTTTTATTGGGCAAATGGTCTAGCAATAAATCCCGAAGCTCTGATACCGCTCAAGATTTTACAAAATATCGGATGCCTCGCTATTACTCTTTGTTCGAATAGAGCTGCACTGTTATTTGATCACTGGAGGCGAAAGAGAGTACTTTGTGGTTACCACTTCACTAAGGGTTCCTCAAATGTGAGGAAAGGCCGTGGAAATCAATGCGAAGCGTAAAAGCATTTTCAAGCGTTCCGGACAAATTTAATTAAGAAGCAAAATGAGGGCTTGCATCGAGGGCCTGAACCTACATGTCACTCTTGCACGTTCGCCACGCTACGCACGTTCATGACGAAGTGACTACTCGGTTCGCCTTAACCGTGCTGTGTGCGACACACTGCATGACACTGGAGAAGCAGTTCCGTAACTTGGTTTCCAAAATCATGTAAAGGATTTGGAGAGTGGATTTGAGATTACCGTTCGAAAGCACTCACGTCGGTATATACCTTATATCGAGTAACTGCGACGTATTCTTCCTTATTCCAACGAATTGCGGTGAGGAAAGAATACGAGCTCTGGCNGCAGAACGTAAAAATAAGCGCATGGTTCCATTTTCTATAAAGGATTTAGGCGAGAGAGCATGAA